TGTTTGTCTTGGCCAAATGTCTCCAAACTGACATTTGTCAAAAGGTTGTTTTTCATAAAACCTTGTGGTTTGGTCAGATGCAGATCGGATGTACTGTTTTTTTCATTTGTAAAATAACTTTTCTGTGTGGGAGAAATTGACTCACATTTCTTTAAAATGTTCTCCAGTATGATGGGCAGCAACAACTTCTCCTTGCTGTTGTCTTTCGTTATTGGCATTGTGCTAGCACGGTGTGCCATAATACTTCAGAGCAACAACCGCTACAACCTTCCAGCTGCTTTTTTTTGGTCTAATCATCGATATGCAGATCAAGTCACACCCTCCCACCTAAAACTAATTTGAAAAACGTGGACAAAAGTAAACTTCTTAATCTCTCATTTGAAGTAAATAAAGTAGATTATGGCAGAAAGCATTTAGCTGTAATTTAACACAAAAGCTTTATAAAATAACAGACCTAAATTAGCTTCAGCTTCCAAACTGAAGCTAATTGATGGAAAACTGGTTTAAGAAACAAGTGTATGCAATATCTGTGATTATTTGTTTAACCAATGCAACAATAAATCTTTGTTGTGGATCCAAAGCAATCATTTGACATGTATGGGAATAAATAGACACATGGATTTGGTTTGACATTCATCGTTCTACAGCTCAGGCAGCTTCAAACCCCACAGGTGGTCTGTGTTGTTGCTAAAGCTGCACATGCCTCTTAACTGACTCATAAGCCTCTCCAGAATAAACCTGCAATTCCGGCAAATCTCTTTAAGATTTACGCTGTCAAATCAGTTCTTATTTATTAGAGAGCAGTTGCTCTCCAGCTCCAGTACTGTTGTTGGATTTTTTTTTTTTTTCCTTCGATTTGTTGAGATTTATAGAAACTTGTCAAGAATTGTTGGTGATATGATCTATTTTTGCAACCTCAATTTATTATTATTATTGTTATTAACATTTATTTAATCAGGCAAATCCCACTGAGATCACAGATCTCTTTTCCAAGGGAGGCCTGGGCCTGAAGGCAGACTAACATGCATGTTTTTGGTCTGTGGGAGGAAACCGGAGTACCCGGAGAAAACCCATACAAGCACGAGAAGAACATGCAAACTCCACCTAGAAAGACCCCAGGTCCAACTGGGGATTGAACCCAGGACTTTCTTGCTGTGAGGCAACAGTGCTAACCGCTGAGCCGTCGTGCTGCCGAAATTCCACAACAGTTGATGTCAATAAAAACCAAATGTGATGATTTGCAAATCTCATGAAACCTATATTTGATCATTATCCAGCATAGTAAATATTTAAATTAAGAAGCTGTATATTTTTTGGTAATTATTTATAATCTTATGGCAACAACACATCTTAGAAAAGTTAGGACAGGACACCTTCTTTTAATGGAAGCTGTAAATTAGGAACTGACGAGACCAGCTGATGGAGGTCTTGAAGAAACCATTCTTGTCTCGTGTAGTATTCTAGCTGTTCATGTCCTGGGTCTTTTTGCCAGACTTTTCTTTCTATGATGCGTCCAGTGTTTTCAGTTGATGAGAGGTCTGGACTGCAGGCAGGTCAGTTCAGCACCTGGACTCCTGCTCCACAGCCACGCTGTTGTAACGAACGCTGTATGCAGTTTAGTATTGTCTTGCTGAAATATGTGAGGCCTTCCCTGGAACGATGTCTGGATAAGAGCATGTGTTGTTGTAAAATTTTATTTACTTTTCTGCACTGACGGTGCCGTTCCAGATGTGCAAGCTGCCCGTGCCAAAGACACTAATGCACCCCCATATCATCAGAGAGACTGGCTTTTGAACTGTGCACCAATAACAGACTGAATGGTCCCTCTCCTCTTTAATACAGAGGACGTGATTTAAAAAAAAAATCTAATTTAGAACAACAAAAAAGGTTAAATCGTGTCACCTGGACCAGTTTAAGTGAGAAATGTTTCATCCCTCATCCAGAGGACTTCCTCAGGCTATGGCCTGCCAACCAGATCTGTCCCGTAAATAGCCTTCCCTGCTGTGTTTCAAGCCAACCTGTTGGAATCTCAAAAGTAGGCTTTTAACACATGCAAAGCACACCCATTTTTAATTTTATTTCAAATTTAGTTTTTTTCTGGCCACCAAACAGTTTTCCACTTTGTCTCAGTCCATTTTAAATGAGCTTTGATGCAGAAAAGATGACCATGTTTCTGGGTGGTGTTTGCATAGGGCTTCTTCATAGCCAGCACTTGTGAATGACATGGGGAACAGTGTTTACAGACAACAATTTGTGGAAGTATTCCTGAGCCCACGCAGTGATGTCAAGGATAGAATCAGACCTGTTTTTCATGCAGTGGCCCCTGAGGGCCCAAAGTTCAAGACCATCCAGTATTGACTTTAAGCCTTTTTTTCTGAACTGTGAGAGTTCTCCAGATTCTTGAACTCTTTTGGTGATATTTGTTGAATGTAACTGGGACCATGTGTACATCGTTTCGTCCCACCTCATGTACCACATGTGGTGTGTATGACAAATAAATCTCTCTGAATTATAAACTGTAGCTGATAGGATATTTAAAGTCTCTCCCCCCCCCCTCACTTTTTTTGTTGTGGATCATTTTCTGAAACTGCTCATGTGCATGTTTTTGCAGACTGCTAAACCTCTGCCCATCTGAACTTCTGCTCTTTTTATATCCAGTCTTCTTACTTACCTGTTATCAATTAACCATACTTTTTGCAAAATGTTCTTCCAGATGTTTCTTATTCATATCACAGACTTTTACAGCCTTTCGTTCCCTCTTTCACAACTTTTTAAAAATGTCTTGCAGCCATAAAATTTAAAATGTTGTTTCCCCAAAAATTTTACAGTTTCATAGTTGACACTTTGATTACTGTGGTTCTTTGTAAATAGCATTTCAATTTTGGGGGTGGATTTAGGGTTGTACAAGTTTTTTATTTTTAGCTTTCAGATATCAATCACCGTGTTTGCTGTTTTAAATACAGCTTCCTTCATGCTAGGAAAGCTGTATTTGGAAGTAAGAACTTAAAATGCTTTTTAAAGTGTTTCTATTAACTACAATCTGTCACAGTCCTTGTGGTGCAGACGCACAAGAAAAGAGGAACTACCTCTAACAGTCATAAGAACTATAATGATGTTCCTACAGCTCAGAATCAGCCGGTGTAGTAGGATAACAACCCGCTGTGAACTTTCCTTTTAAAACTGGAAGTGATCATGAGATCAAGCGCTGGGTGGGGTTATTAATGACACCAGAAACAAGCAGCGTGATAAATGAGCAGTTTAGAAACGGCCATATTGTTTCCGTGTGCGGAGCAGGATCGAGACTTTGAGAACAAGGGGGAGGGAGGGTTAGAAGCACAACAACTTCTGTATCCTCTGGGAATGCTGTCTGAATATTTGGGAGGAAGTGTGTGTGTGGTGTGTGTACATGTGAAGGGAAAAACCTGAACAGTCCATGCTGTCTGTACAGAAGGGATCTAGCCTTCTCAGATTTACTTGACGAGCTAAAAATACTCAGTAAAACAGGAAGATAGTGTTTTAGAGATTTATGTTGGAAGCTTTATCATTTCTTCGTGTTTCTCTCTTTCTACTGAAGACATCCATCCATCCATCCATTATCTTTACCCGCTTATTCCATTTTGGGTCAAGGGGGTCGCTGGTGCCCATGTCCAGCAATCACTGTGCGAGGGGCGGGGTACATCCTGGACGGGTCGCAAGTCCATCACAGGGACACATAGAGACAAACGAGACAAACAACCATTCACTCTCTCACTCACACCTAGGGACAATTTAGAGTTACTAATCAGCCTAACATGCATGTTTTTGGTCTGTGGGAGGAAACCGGAGTACCCGGAGAAAACCCACGCATGCACGGAGAGAACATGCAAACTCCACCCAGAAAGGCCCCTGGACTACTGAAGACACTGTATGACAAAAGGCTCAAATCCGGTGCTATTCACTGTCCCCTCCCTTTTTCTTTTCTCTTTAAAATCTGTTTTAACCGTTCAAAATCGTGTTTTTGGATCGTTAAAAACAGCTTTGCTGAGAAGCTAAGCTACGAGCTAAGCTAACAGGCTGACCTCGGGATAAACCCTCCGTCTTGTCGAAGCTCCAAAATTCACGGTTGAAATCCGTGCCTTCGTGTAAAAAGTTGTTTTTCTCTGCAAAATGAAGCTGAGAACTTGTTTACTTATTTTTTTATTAAAAGCTTTGTGCGAAAAATGCTATGCTAAAGAGCTCAAACCACACTGAGCGTCCGCCATTTTGAGAACCGAAAAAGGAAGAGACAGCCCATGTCACGTCAAGGGGCTTCCCTCCTATTTTTCATAAAGAGACACGCTGCTCGCTCCCTCATTATCCATCCTTCGGTTCAAATAGTCTTATACTGCCATCCGGTGGTCAAAAAAGGTACTACACCCAAAACAAATTGTACAACATTTCTTCTTAAACTTGATAATATCTACTAATTATTGTCAACGTTCAAACAATATTATCGTTTATCACAATAATTTCTGAGACAATTAGTAGCCCAGAAAAATTTGTTATCGTGACAGGCCTAGTTGGTTTGATCATTCTGAAGTCAGAGCAGCTCGCTGTGTTTTATAAACTCTTCTTTTTAATCAAACTGATACTGAGTTTTTATTGCCTGCTGCCAAAAGGTGAAGGTAGACCGATAATGTTTTTGGCCATGTCTGTTAGCAAAACTTTCATGGACCATTGGAGAGATTTTAACGAACCTCTCAGAAAATGGCTGTAACTCAGTCAGTTTTACAGATAATGAGCTAGAATTTGATTTGTTAGTAGTTCAGTCTGAGCGTGACGTCTCCGTGACCTCGCATGAAAGGCGGCGGGCAACAGGGGCTTCATTTCTTTTGTCAGTGTTTCCTAAAATTTCACTAAAAGATGCAGAAACTGATTGAAAGATTTGACATCTCTCTCTAGAGATCAGCGTGTTGTGACTTTGACTGTTTTCTGTTTGTTTTGTCAACAGCTACTCTGAGGTGGAGCTGAAAGGGGCCAACATGCCGCAGCAGAAGGACATAGTTAAAATAGCCATCCAGATGCCTGGGGCCTACCCCCAGCTCATACAGCTGGACCAGGTGAGTACGCTCAGAAAGGTGCACATACAAGTCTCAAAGGGTTTAATCTTCTTCTCAAACTTATATAAAATATGATCAAATTAAGTCATCTTTAATTATCAGCCAGCTTTCAAGCAAAAAAGAGGACCCAACCAGACCCAGACCAGTGGTCATTCTGTATGTTGCAGGAGTTTCAGAGAAACTGAGATGTTTATTTTCTAAACATGACATCCCGTGGCTTTTAAACCCTAAAATGCATTACAGCAAAGACTGGTTCATCCCAAAGATTCAGTCTCCCAGCACAAACAAGAGTAATATTGTGTATGTTGTTCAGTGTCAGGAGGGTGATCAGTCTTACATCGTGGAAACTAAATAGCCACTGGCCAAAAGGATGGACCGGCACAGAAGAGCAGCATCATCAGGCCAGGATTCTGCTGTCTACACTCATCTGCAGGCCAGAGGTCACTCTTTCAGGAATGAAGACATGACGGAAAAGAACGTTGGTTTGAGAGAGGAGTCAAGGTCCTGGCATACTTCTTCTGAAGCCAAACAGTTGACTCGCAGTCACCTGGTTGCGGCGGGACATTCGTTTTAGCACACACCTTTCAAAGTCCACAAGACACAGACGTAGAGCTCCTGGGAAACACCTCCCGCTACAGTATACATCACCTCACAGGTTTCTTCCCCCCCATAGTCTCCATCCATCCCTGCATCCTCCGTTTGGCCACAAATCTATCATGAAGAAAGTGCCACACTTTTCAGCAGACAGACTCCTCCATACACGATGTCTGCACGACCTCCATCCAGGAGTTTTGGGCCATTTGACTAATTTAATGTGTTTTTAAGAGTAGTTCAGCTGAATGTTCGAGCGCAACAAATAAAAAAATGACGCTATTTTCATCACACAACTGCAACAATGAGATCCGATTTCCACTGTTTATGCAGGGCCCTTGAGTTTGTTGCAGCTCCTTAGTCTGAAGAAGTCTTTTGGACAAAAGACGAAACGTTTCACCAAAGAAGAATCTTTCCAGAGGACCTGACTCAACCTCGTTAGATTTATGACTTTTGGTTTTTGTAACCTTTTAACTTTTTTGAAATATTTAATTTTACATTTTATTTTCTCTCATTGAAATGAATTGAGAATTTTTCAAATCCTTGCAAAGTGTGCTTTTAGAAATCTAATTTAATTTACGTGCTTTGTATTAGGCTTTTAGCTACTGTTTTTAGGATTTAACTTTTGTTTTGCTGATCTTAGTTGTTAGCTGTTGTTTCGCTCAGTTTCGACTTAAGTTTTTGTTTGGCTAATTTTAACTTTTGTTTTGATTGTGTTAACCTCAGCAGTTTAGTTTCAGCTTCATAAAAGTCATCCAGAACTCGGCTTTGTCGCTGCAGTTTCACAAAAGATGCCGTTTTCTAAACATATTTGTCACACTCTGTTGGTGAAGACGACCACAGTTCTACAGACGGTGACACCAGAGCGATGCATGTTCGTGTTACATCAGTGGGTTTTCTGTTTTCGATCAGCAGTGAGGGGCAGGCTCAACTGAAACCTCCTGTAGCAGCAGAACAGCTCATACCACACAGTGTTAACCTTTTTGTTTAACCACACAACAGAAAACATGTTCAGTGAATTTAGCTTTTATTTTCTGACCATTTAAACATTTAAATTGTTGCTTTAATACACACGCACGTACACATGGCTCGTTTCATTAATTGTTTTAGAACAAGCTTAGCTGTATGATGTTACCAGTAATAGGAAGGTTTGGGCTACAAATGTGCATGTTCTCGTGCACATGTGTTGCACTCATTTTCATGCTTTTTTAAAAAGTTTTTGGGTAATTTTGTGGCCTTGAAAAGGTTTTGATCTCCACCTACTTATCAGAGGTTTGGTTCCGTTTTTTTGGCGTAAAATATTAAAAACAGCTCGGCAGCGTCGCTGCCTGGTGGCTGTCAAACGTGACTTTAATTACAGACTAGGTTTGTTAAATCATTTTTATTTACCCACATATGAAGCTCGTCTATTCCTAATCCTATGAAGTCCTACTGCAGAGTCCTGCATTGTTAATTATACTTATTTTATATTTATTTTAATATAAATAAAACTCTAAACATTTGAATTTTTAAATGAATTGAGATAGACATTATTTTAAATTGTTTTATATTAGAATATTTATTGCAAAGTTCCCTCTTACGTATGTTTCATAATCGTTTGCCAAAAGAACTATTTATTTTATTTTTTGGGGTTTTACCTAAATTAGAGTTGTAGATGTTTTTCATGAAGACACCAGTGTCAACTTCACAAATCAAGCCCTTTTTATTCCCTACTACCAGTCAGAAAATGTGTTTTTAAAAAGAATTGAAGTAAAAAAGATTTATGTAGACATGTGTTTTTTAGCAGCCAGTGTTGATTTTTAGAAATCACAATATTTAATGGACACTATATAGAGTCAATGTTTTTTCTGTTTGGGCTCATAAATCTATTATTAAGACTTTATACACTATAATTTTCTAGAGTTTAAGACAAAAAAAAAAACAGTAATTGGAAAAACGACTGATGATGGTCAATAGTAGCACTGAGCTTTGAACTTTTTAAGCATTTTTTTTTTTCATATTTTCCTGAAAACAAGTTTGTTTTTGTTTACATTGTTGTCAATAAACACAGAATCATAATGTAAGACCCACATTTAATGACTGCAGTCTGTTAGATTTGAAGCGATCGTTACAAATGTTTTGTCCAATTGCACAACAGTCTGCTCGCATCTGTGATGCTTCAGACTCCACTGGCTGCTAGTGATGATGTTATCGAGGCATATTTGATAATGTCAGAGCTTGTCAGTATGAATATCCATAATATTTACACCCCGGAGCTCGGTGTGAGTTAGCATGGAGTCCTACCTGCTGTGCTACAGATGACCAGATGCTTCTTGTGATCGTGGGGAAGTTTTCCACTTATTTCCCAGAAACTTTGAGGAAGTTGTACTTCCTTGTGCAAGACACTGCAAATGAGTTGGAACAATAAAACTGGTGTGTGTTTGTGTGTGTCTGCACAACGTCACTTTCTGTGATTTGCAATTTTTTTTTTAGAAAATCCACTGAAGGCTTTAGGAAATGAGTGCTTCAAGTTGAGAAGACCATCGTAAATTTACATTCGGTTTAACTTCTCGGACATTCATCAGCATTTTTAACTCGTTCCATTTTAGCGATCGTAAGGGAATCCCCATGTTTTAGTTGCAGTGCATGTTCTCCGTTCAAATAAGATTAATTTAGAACACAACCAATTTTGAAAAATCCTCCACTGGCTCGAACCTTTTCAGCAGACTCATCTGACTGGTTGACCCTGTTGGCCTCCACTAATAACAGAGCGTCCACCGGGTCTACCGCAGAACCTGAACACATTTTGACTGTATAACCGCCGCACTGACCACTAATAACAGCATAGCTGAGAGTCAGACATGGAAGCAGTCTGGCTTTTATTTACATGCTGAATGGGATCCTGGCACCGAGGGTTCTGTGCAGCATATAATGTGTTTGGGAGGGCAAGGATTTCCTCTCTGTAGCAAACAAGGTTTCCAGCCAGCGTGAATATCTGTGGTGTCGTTATTCCAAAACAACATGTCATTACTGAAGACTGACGGAAGAAAAAACTTGAATGGTAAAGCCTTGTTACAACACTTATGTAAGCAGCATGTGTGTGTTCTTGTTTTGTGTTTTGTTTTTTTATTATCCATCACTGAAATGTGTGTTCATATTTTGTCTAATACCAAAATATTTCATGAACCACTGGACAAGTTTTAATGAAGCTCTCAGAAAGTAATCCTTGGACGTACATCTACAACATGTTAACTTTTGAAATCAATCCGAGTCACAATGGCTGCCACAGCCAACCACAGAAAAGGTCATAACTCGGGCAATTTTACAGAAATGTAGCTAAAATGATATGTGTCGATAGCTGACGGTCATATATATAACACATATTATATCATTCCGCAGGACGTTATTTTCAAGGTTTGTCTAAAATGATTACAACTCCAAGTTCTATCATAAGATGTTCTTAGTCTAAAACGCTGGCGTGAAAGGCGATGGGCGATGTGCATTCCTTCAAGGAATGGCAGCCGTGGATGAGTGGTTAGAGCAGTCATCCTCCAACAAGAAAGTCGCAGGTTCGATTCCACCAGTATGCAGTTTGCATAAAAGTGCGTGGATGGATGGATGAATGAGTGCACACATTGTGTTGTGAAGAGCTTTGAGTAGCTTGGTGCTTTACGAGTACAGTCCATTTCTCATTTAAATGTTTCTGACTGGGATTTGTTGTGTCTGTGCAGAAAAAGCCTCTGTCAGCTGTGATTAAGGAGGTGTGTGATGGGTAAGTTAAAGGTTTGTCTGGTTTGGTTGTTTTTTTTCATTCTAACTGATGTTGGACATCGTTTTCAGTCGATTGATTTTCTCCAATGTGATTATCTGTGTGTGCAGCTGGAACCTCCCAGGTCCTGACAACTACGCTCTGCAGTATGCCGACGGAGTTCAGATGTACATCACCGAATCGGTCAGTCGCACGTTTACACAAATAAACACTTGTTTTTTAATTCGGTATCACAGAGTCCACCTTTGAAATGTCTTAAGAGTTTTGACGTCCTTGAGCAACAGAAATGAATAATTTCCTCAAATATGTTAAAGCTGAGAGAATTTTAAATTTCTGTTTAAGACTGTGGATTCCAGAGTCGCTCTTTTTCCGTTTCCACTGATTCCAAACGTAGAAGAAATTAGCTCACAAAATATTACAGATGTTTTCAAAAAGCTCTGTTGGACAAAGGAGGAAAAAACAGCTGAAGATTATTTACATCTTTGAAACTCGCTCAAAGGATTTTAACGTTCGGGCACTGAAGTGAGTTTGTCGTTAAATACAGATGTTTTAGTTTAGGAGCAGCGTCTTGATGAGCGTGTGGAACGTTTGACTGGATTACATGCAGATTAATAACGACTGGGATTATTTCCAGATTTCAACAGCGGTGCCTCCAGGAATTCTCTTTTCTAATTTTTCAACAAAGATTCTTTGTTCGAGCCTCCTTTGAAATGTTGCCATGTTTTCATTTTAGCATATAGAAATGGCAACAATTTAACTTCTCTCTTTTCAAACTAAAGGTCTTTTGACCAAATGTTGTTTCTTTAAATTACTTCCATTTAATTCTGACTAAAATAGTTATTATTTATCCCCAACATGGAGTTACATTCTGATGCTCAAAACAGATAAAACTGTTTTTATTTTTTATTTTTTTTAAACTAGCTGTAATAAGTTATCATAACCCATTAGTTTATATGTGACTGTGTTTGCCAGAGTTTGGGTCTTTGTGTTTATGTCAGGAACCTTAAACTGATCTTCTTCTCCGTCTCTGCACGCTGTAATTCTGTGGTGTTAGTGTTTGTGTTGTTTGCCTCGTCTACCTTGTAATTTAACCTAAGTGATGCTGAGATTGGTGTTTTGTTTTTGTGTGTGTCTAGAATCGTCTGGACATTAAGAACGGCTGCATTCTGCGTCTGACCAAGGCCCCGGTGAGTGTTGTCACCTCCACCTTCATAGATTCCTGTTGTGTTTAGCTCATTGCATGTATCGTATTTTCCGGACTATAAGTCAATGTTTTTTTCATCGTTAACATTCTGAACCATCACAGACAGTGTGGCTTTCAGAGTGGATGTCTATTTTCAGATGATGATGGAGGAGTTAGACGATCTGGTATTTCTGCTGTTAACAGCGGAGGAGCGCTATTTTGTTCATTTGTCACACAGGGATGCCATCGTTTCCAGCAGACAGTGCAGGAACGTGCCATTTCATTTGTCAGTTAAATTAATCTCTGTTCATTGGCTTCAATGTTCAATATTCTGTCAGCAAGATGAGATGCAACAAGAAGTTAATGTTGATTTTATTTCAGGAAGAGCTTACCAGTAGTTAAATTATTGTCCTTTACTGGTTATAAATGTTGCAGAGAGACCTAAAGCAAGCAGCTCAAATTATTAAATTCTTCTTATTCTAATTCTGGTGGCGGCTGTGGCTGAGTTGTTAGAGCAGTCGTCCTCCAATGGGAAAGTTAGGGGTTCGATTCCACCAGCAGTCACATGTTGAAGCGTCCCTGGGCAAGACACTGAGCCCCTCATTGCCTCCAATGTGTGTCCCATCAGTGTATGAATGTGATCTAAAGCCCTGATTAGTTTCGACAGATTCAGATTAGCTCTGTAGAGATGTAGTAGAGTGCTGTATGAATGTGTGTGTGTGGAGGTGAATGAGGACACAGATTGTTGTAAAGCGCTTTAAATATCTTGATTAGATTAAAAAGACTATATAAGCACAGTCCATTTACCATTACTGTTCTTTGAATCAAATGAAATAAATTTCTCCAAGTTGCAGGACTTGCATATTACTTTCTTTAATGAATAAAAGACCACATTATTGTTTTTCCTGTTAGTGGGACGTAAATTAAAATTTTTGAAGGTCATATGTAAACATAAAGAAAACATACAAACTTGTAAACACCACTGTTTTTTATATATATATATATATATATATATATATATATATATATATATATATGATTGATTGTATGTTTGTGTATGTGTGTTTCTTAAATGCTGGTGTACTCAGGGTCGCTGTGCAGAAGACTTGTTCAAGGGCATCCAGAGCTCGGACGCAGGCGTGCGCTGTGATTCGCTGAAGGAGTTGGCGAACGTTTCCAGAGACGTGACGTTCGCTCAGGAGTTCATCAGCCGAGACGGACACCTCGTTTTGGTTAAAATAGTAGAAGACTCTAACGAGTGAGTATTATGTGTTGACTGAGGGTCATTTTGCTTCATATTCAGCTGAGCAAACATATGTGTTGATTGAAACTCTATTTCTTTCTTGTGGTACAATTATTTTCTCCAATTTGCCACAAATCTTTGTTTAATTTCAGTGAAGTTTTATGTAATTGGAGCGTAACACAACTAAATCAATCTGAACGTTGTTGGCGTTTCTGCAGTTTTCTAAATGAATAATACTTTCTAATCTTTGTGCTTTGGTGTCCTCCTCATTCAGGAATAACTTGATCATGATGCACACACTCACTGGTTTCATGGAGCTGATGGACCATGGGATTGTTTCGTGGGAGAACCTCTCTTCTATCTTCATTAAGAAGGTTGTTCAACTGCTGCTTTTTCTCTTTTGTCTTAGTTTTATTTTCATTGATGTTTCTACTTTTTTATTTGTCCTCTCAGATCGCCAGCTTCGTCAACGCCAAGGTGACGGATGAATCAATTCAACAGGTGTCCCTGGACATCCTGGAGAGCATGGTACTGAGCAGCCACAGCCTGTTCGTACAGGTCAAACAGGAAGTCACCATGGAGAGACTTATCGCTCACTTACAGGTGTAAGTACAAAAACCTGGGAATATCTCAGTCCAGTCATAAAACCATTGAGCATTTAAAAACGAGTTGCAATTATTTAAGGAACATTTTATTTTTTTACCTTCAATTATTTTCCTGATATTATAAAGATAAACTTCCCGTCACGCTTTAATGTATTAAAGGGTCTTTTGTTCAAGCAGGCCCTTTTAGTCTGATGAACGCTGAAGAAAATATAAAAGGAAGATGATTCTTTAAAATTGTTTCTAATCTGATGAATGGAAAGTTATTTTGAACGTGGCACCTCTTTCTTGACAGATTGCTGTCCGATAATAATTAGCACTTACTGTAACAGGAAGTTTTTAGATACTTAAGCTATGTACCTTTATCCCTTCAAGATTTTACAGACATATGTCATAGATGTCTGAGAACTAAAGGTTGTTTTTCAACTTTTTTATTTATTTTTTAGGACAAACCAGCAGATACAAACCAAAGCCATGGCCCTGCTGATGGCCTTACTGCAGACAGCGGGGGATTCAGACAGACAGGTGCTGCTTCCGTTTCTTTTTTTGTTCTTCTGAACTTTTTTTTATCAGTTTTCTCTTCAGTCAGAACTTCCAAGCATGCTGACGAGCAGGTATTTGGCTTCTTGCAGGGGTTGGTTGCTTCCTGGTAGCAGTGTGTGCTACTGTCATCATCTGATACTTTACATGGTTTCAGCAGGGCCATGAAAAATCACAAGTTTTAAAATTAATCATCTTAATTTTAGGCCTCAAGTCTTAAATATGTCCAGATTTTTCGTTTTAGGACTTAAAATGCATTTAGTTACAGTCATTAGTTTTCTTCCTCTATCACCTTTCTTTTTAACGCATTTGCTCTGTGTTGTAGTTCTTTCTAGATTTCAGGTGTTTTTACGCTGTAACAAAACTTAAAGTCCCATCATGCAGCAGCTTCATCTGCAGGAATTTACTTTAAAGTTCAGCTTTCCCTGCGAAACAATCCAGTTGCTCTGTTCTTAAACTGCTACGTTTATTTGTTGTAATCCACGTGAATCTTTAAATTTGAATCATGATGGTTTCTAAAAGGTCGTCTTACATTGAACTTACTGAAACTTGCAGAAACCCTGGTGTTTTTCAGTCTGCAGTTTATGTCACAGCGAATCATTCGTAGTTCAACTTTGTGACATAAGAGTACTTTAAAAAATGAAATCAGTTCATTTTTCTATTTGAAGATCATAAAAACATGTCACAGAGCTGATTTTTTTTTCTTATTAGATGACTTATTCTTTTCATAATACAATTGCTGGCTTTCTAGTTTATTCACAAACAACTACAGTGTAGTTTCCATAAGGCAGGAATTGTATTTGTTAATAAATAACAAGGATAACTTCACTCATTACTTAACCTTTATAATGTTTTTATTCCTACTTTCTGTACAGATAAGAGTATACAGCCACGGTCGGTACTGTTCATTTCCCCTCCGTCTCAGATTTCCTACAGACAGCCATGTTTATTCAGCAACAGTTCCTTCATTCATGGCTCCGTTTCCTTTCTGTCCATCTCTCCGTGTTACTCACATAAAGCCTTACAGCAGGTCAACAGATCCATCCTTCTTATCAGCACACTAGCTGTGAACAAAAGCGGTTGAGTCAGAGATGGCTGTACCATGGCAGAGGTCAAAGTTCCTCACGCTCCTGCCACTGACCTTGTAGCGCCACCCGGTGTCAGAAATGTGTCTCTGCACCTCCGTTAACATCCGATTTCTTCTTCCTTGCACTTGTTTCCAGGAAATGTTTGCATTCCTGAATAAGAAGAATCTCCGCCAGTACATCTTTAAGGTGAATTATTTTTTGATATTTCATTAAAAAAAGTTATTTTTATTATTATTACTAACATAATTTAAAAGTTGTGAAATATTTCAATGTAATGAAAAATGTTTTTCTTTGTTCCAGAACATTATCCTGAGTTCTGGGTTAGTCCAGGATGAGATGGCCCACTACCTTTATGTCCTACAGTCCGTTACATTAAATCATTTGGAGGATCGTATGAGGATGCCGCTGGACTGTTACAGCCAGGTGAGAACTTCTGTTCATGTCCTACACTTCTTTGTTTTTACAGCTCAGGCGGCAAAGAGTTTAATTTCTGAAGCTGTGTCTTTATTGTTAAAAGCTGAAAGTTAGCCATTTCCTATAGTAACAAATGATAATATGGTATAAAACTTGATCCAATTTTTATTTTATATTTTTCTTGCTGAATCACTTTGATTTTCATCTTTTTTTTTTTTATCCAAACTGGACGGATTTTGTTGTGTTTATTCTTCCTGTGGAGACTTTAAAATATATTTCCTCTATTTTCAGTCCGTGGTGCTCATTAAAATCTTTAAAGTAAATTTATCCCCGCTAAAATCTGAATTAAAATCAGTTTGACAAACCCGCCAGAGTCCTGATAGTCACCGACTGTCTACCAACTCACCTGGTAAACATATTAAAAATATATAAATAAACATTTTATTTTAATGACACTCATATAGTCAACATAAAAATCCTTAAATCAGCTTCTTAAAGAAAGCATGGCGTAAAATTAAATGTTTCTTGTAGCATTTGAAAATAAAGTACTTTGAAAAGTATGTAAAAATGTAGTGTTTATTTTTACAAAAACAAATAAGTTATAATTTTTCTTCTCTTATTCCACATGTAAATATAAATTTATTTTACAGCTGCACTCATCCCATCCGTCCGTCCATCCATCCATCCATTAATAATAATAATAATGATTAAATAATAATAATATTAATTAAGGGCATTTTCACAGAATTTGATAAAAAGTATAATGATGAGCTGTGACTGTTAGCGTTAGCCTCACCTGCTATGTCGACTCGGACCGCAATGCATTGTGGTCTATTTCCACAGATTTAGTGTGCACCACTTTTACTGAACCACTGGACCGGTTTCTAGGGCTCTCCATAATAAAAAAACATTAAATACCGTATTTAATTTCTGAACAGCGCTACATGGTTCATTCACTATTCAGGGCACTACAGTAGTCCCTCGTTTATCGCGGGGGATCCATTCCCTGAAGACCTACGATAAGTGAAAAACCGCGAAGTAGGAATAGTAGTAATGTATATGTATATATATATATGTATATGTATATGTATATATATATGTATATGTATATATGTATATATATGTATATGTATATATGTATATATATGTATATGTATATAT